ATAGCGAATCACCTTCGGGTTGGTTTTTACTCCTGGGAATACGTTTCCAGTTGCAATTTTTACCCTGGAGACTGGAGTTATGCTTAACCCGGGGGTGAGTTGCTATTAAGAAACCGGCCCTTGGAGAGGTAAAAAGGTAAAACTCATCCCATTAAAATTTTAAATCAATTGTAAAAATACTATTTCCGATCCATATATTTGAACATACTGAAATGGCGCCAGTATATGACGTAGACTTCTGTACCGACCAATAAGAATTGTTCACAATGACTCTGACACACATCTTTGATGCTTTCCTTGTCTAAATTCTGAAGAGTAAAAGGGTGAGAAAAAAACTTTTATATTCTCAGCATTGAAACACAGTTTCAAAACACAAAACTATAAAACAAACTGTGAAATTAGAGGTGGCGAAATCATCTATACCTAATGTGTTTGGTCAGGTTTTTATGTAGGCATTAACAAACATCACAAATGCTTGACCACTGTTGCCATAATAAATCCTGACATTTGTGGTTTGTTTATCAAGATTTTTTAGAAAGAAAGATTGCCTGCAAGGTTCCTAAAGTTGATAGGTTATCTAGAATGTCTAGTAATGGGAAACAGATGACGTCATCTTGGGTACCCAATGGAGATTTGCATAAAGGGTAAATGGTAATAGACATCAAAGATAATACACAGATGTTTCAAATGTATATTATACTCTAGGACCGCTGACGGTAAACAGCCAACGACACCGTTGATGACCTCGACAACAATGCGACCTTGATTCCAAATATCGAGGCGGATGAGCAATCCTGTAGTAGTGTGTAATATCCTTGGATTTGCATTATATTTAGCTTAGAGCAGGTAAAGGTAAAGAGGAGTAGTAACCTGGATTTGGAAAATGAAGCCGTTTTTTTCCAGGTATTTTGGCACCAAAAAAATGGCGGTATAGGCAATTCAATGCTTTACCTGTATCTTGGTGCCAAACACCTGTCAAAAATTTGGCTTCACTTTAGTTTCATAAGCAGAATGGCGCGTTCCTACTCCTTATGTCCATAGGACAGCGCTTTCCTACTCTAATATATTTAGGCATACAGATGACGTCATACAAGTTATCAGGCAACCTCCCTGTAATGTTTGCTTATGGATTGTTTGTTGTTGAGTTATCGTTTGTTTTGTTGTTTATTTAACTAAATTGTTAGTAGCAATAAAAGACTGTTGTTCGTGTTATTAATTAATTAACACTTCAACTTATAACTTCTAACTTGGCAGACAGACTTAACAGACTGAAAACCAAGGATATTACAGTCCCTCTTTTAAATAACCTTGATCCCAACCAAGGATAAAACACACATTACTACTACAGGATAGTCTATCTTCGTAAGGTCTGTGTAGTTCAAATCCCAAGCCTCCCACTATGCCAAATCACTAGTAATGACGTACACAGCGTGTTGGTTCTCGCCTTGACGTAGGGTGCTTGCTAGCTTGCACCATAGGTTATGATTCCGCGGGATTTTGCTTTATGCATACTTGATGGTTTCAGTACCTACATTAATAAACATTCTAAAACAAGGCTTTTTTAGATCTCGTTTGCATCTTTTTTCCTCTTTGCCTATTATGTTTATCATAAGTAAATTATATTTTTCATTAAAATGAATTGTATAGTGAAATTAATAAAATATTGGATGTACGTCATCAATGACGTCGAAATTATTGCCAATTGCAGTTTGTGAGAAATTGAAATTCGTTTTAAACGCAGAGCGCATTTTCTCTTTTGTTTAACCCTGGTAAAAAAGAGATAGAATGCTGTCGGATCATATAACCGAATCTGCCGAAAAAATGGGATTTAGGTTGACACTCGTGGGTTGTTGCCTTCTGCAAATCTTCGGTTATTGATTTTAATAATTTGAGGTTTGTTGTCAGATTTTAAAGAGTCGAGAATTGTATGGTTGGGATATAATTCAAGTATACTTACTAAAAAATTGTACTAATGGAATTTCCTTTTTTTTTTGGTATTAGTGATTCTTATCAATGGAAATGTAACCTGGGAAAATGACAAACTTATTAGACATGGTATCTCAAAGTAAAACGAAGTTGATGCGGCAACATTGCAACGTGCTAACGCCATAAATTTTGATGACGTACATCCATTATTTAATTAAAGTCCCTATATATTATATAATAGACACTTTAAGTTAGACAAAATACGTTAACGCTAACGTAAGATTTGACAGCTGCGCATGCGCAGTTTCTTTTCACCAAAAATTGCGTGTTACGTGTCACGTTATTTAGCGGGTCTTTGCGTGTACCTTATCCGTAAACGTTCGGTAAACCGAGTGGGCCCGAAAGCCAGATTGCCGGTGTCGACCTTTGCCGAATGTATTTTAACCTTAAAAAAAAATAAGGTGTCATGTAATTCAAAATAATCAAAATACAAAATAGTAATTTATGCAACAAGTGTGTAAAGTGAACCTTTTTTCACGAATGTGAATTTTGACATTGACAATCACATGAGTGAAAAAAGTAGCTTTACGCACGCATACAAAATTTTTTCTACTACCAATCAAATATGTTAAAAAAATAGATTTAGACAAATACTTCACGCACTAGTGCGTGAAGTATTTTCACTTTACGCACTAGTGTGTGAAGTAATTTACCAGAAAATTAGTAAATTGACAGTTGTCAACATCTGTCATTGACATTACTTTACGCACTAGTGTGTGAAGTGAGTTACTTTACGCACTAGTGCGTGAAGTGGAATTTTACATCTTCTGAATAGTGCGTAAAGTGAGTACTTTACGCACGATAGTAGAAAAAATAATTTATAATTTGTCCTTTCCACAACAAAATTTAGAGGTTAGGTTATGATTGTGAGATATAACGTTTACGTTTACGTGAAAATTTAACTTAAACTGATTTGTGAGCACCGACGGACACTCAACGCTATAGTCAAAAATAGGGTTTACGTTTAAAGATTACGTTAACGTGTTTGGTCTAACTTAAAGTGTCTAATCTACGATCGCTAACGCAAACAGCTAACGATACCGTTAATGACGTCAGCAACGGTGCAACACCATATGACCTTGATTCTAAAAATCGAGGCCGATGAGATGTAGTAATGAGTAATATCCTTGGATTTGCATCATGTTTAGGCATACAGATGACGTCATAAAAGTTATCAGACAATTTCCCTTTTTCAAATAACCTTAATCCCAACCGAGCATAAATCGCACTACAACTAAAAAAATAACCTATCCTCATAAAGCCTGTGTAGTTCAAATCTCAAGCCTCCCACCAAAACACCAGTGATGACGTAGCAGCGTGTAGTTTCTCGCCTTGACGTAGGGTGTTTGAACCACAGGGTTATGATTTCGCCAGTTTTTGCTTTATGCATACTTAATTTTACTACATTAATTATAGTTATTGATGATACTAGTTTGATATGAACACCATGATGAAACGCGTGTAACGTTGAACCACGAGTTTCATTAATAGAGTGCATATCGACTTCAAATTTTTTTTGCCTTGAAATAGCAAAAACTTCTCAAATTAAAATTCTAAATTTAGCAGGGGCCCATACTATTCGGTGAACACGCGTATTAATTTTTGGAATTTTGACATTGGCAGCTTCAAATTGGAGTCAATTTTTGTGCCACAAATTCAGTTTTATAGTGGAAAATAATTATTACTATGGGTGATTCTGAGTCCGAAGCTTCGGATATTGAGACAGCATCTATAAAAAGGTTCTTCTAGTATCTAACTAACTTTCTCTTTGTATATTTTTTATTTTATAATTTGGGTGTTCTTATGAATTCTCATAATCACACTAGTGCTATTATGAAGTAGTTTACATTCAAATGACAATGCTTAATGTGTCATAATGACACCGACGTAGATTAACATTCTAAAACAACTCTTTTTTAAATCTCGTTTGCATTTTCCTCTTTGCCTATTATGTTTATCATAATTCAATAATATGTTTCATCATAAATGTATATTATAATCTACGACCACTGGCGCGAACAGCTAATGCACCGTTGATGACGTCGGCGACGGTGCAACACCATATGACCTTGATTCAAAAAATCGAAGCCAATCAGCAATCCTGTAGTATTGTGTAATACCCTTGCATTTGCATTATGTTTAGGCATACTGATGACGTCATGAAAGTTAGCAAGCAACCTCCATCTTTTAAATAACAATAACCAAGGACAATATACACTATCACTACTACAAGATAGCCTATCCTCATTTTTCAAATCTCAAGACTTCCACCATCACTATGCCAAAGCACCCAGTGATATGATGACGTAGGCAGCGTGTCGTTTCTTGCTTTGACGTAGGGTGTTTGCACCACAGGTTATGATTCCACAGATTTTGCTTTATGCCCACTTTGTTTCACTACATTAATTAACATTGTAAAACAACTCTTTTTTATATCTCGTTCGCATCTTCCTCTTTGTTTATTATGTTAATCATTTCTTAATGCAATGCAAACTTTTAAAAAAAATAACTCAAATTTTCCGTTGTCTACACTACAGTCTACATTGTTCACATAGTTTACATGTAGTACATGGAAAAAAGTGGATGTAAACAATACGTAGATAACGAGTAGACAAACCGCGTAAAGTAGATTTCATAGTTTACGGTACATCCCTGATCAAAACTAAATAATAATTTTCATCATAAATTTAAATTCTAAACTACGACCGCTGGCATAAACAGTTGACGACTTAGTTAATGACGTCGGCAATGGTGCTACACCATATGATCGCGATTACAAAAAACGAGGCTCATAAGCAATTCTGTAGAAGTAATTATCCTTCAGCTAAAACCAGGTTTTTAAAGGCAATCTTAGAAATCAACACTGGCAATGATAATCTGACAACGTTGCAATATTAACTAATTTGCACTATCATTATTAGTTGTTGAAGCGAGTGACGTCATATTCAACGTTAGAACTGTTAATATACCTAAGTTGTTAGAATTTGCAATAATTTACTTTAATCTGATTCTAGGTGAAGGTACGGCGTGATGGCCGGGGAGCCAAATGGCTCTACAAGACAACAGCAACAACAACAACCGAACAACATTACGAGCACGATTAGTACGATCGTATCGAGTACCGCAGATCCGCGCGAGTACTACAAAACCTACGATGTTATGACAGGCGTGCGCATAGCGGCAACGCTGGGCAGTTTTTTCGGCCTGATGGTCCTGCTCGTTTTATACAAATCCAAATCGAAGACTGAAAAAGCGCTGGAAGATCCGAATTTCACCGCCGCCGCCGTAGCGGAAGTCGAAGAGGAGGAACGTCAAATCCAGTTGGCCTTGGAAGCGAACGCGTACGAGCAACTAAACCCTCGAAGATCGAGCAGGAAATCTTTGGATTATTCCAGCGTTTCGGGTCGGCGATCTTCCACGAGGCGATTTTCAACTATCGCCGCTTACAGCAGCTTAATCGAACCCAAATCGAGATTGCCTAGCTTCGTCGATAACGAAGACTCTCCACCGGAAGACGGCGCTTCGCTATACGACGACGTCTACTATCGCACCAATCTCGACGTGCCGCGCCGTCCGAGCAACATCACGTGCTCGTCGTCGGGCAGTTCGTATTTGGAGCGGCGCGATTCGGCAGTGACTTTGGGACTACCGGTGTTGCCCGCGCACAAGTACAAAAACCGAAGACAATCGAGTCCGGTGCCGGAAATCTACGATTTTTACTATCCGATCGATATTCGGGTGACGCAACCGACGCCGGGCGGATCGCCTTGCGGCAGCGATCGCGCCCTCTATCAACGGACCTACGAAGCTCAGCAGCACGCCGTTTTGAAACCGCGTTTGGCGCCTTTGGCTTCTATTAGTTCTTGTAATAGCTCATTGGGTAAGAATTTATGTTTCTGATTGCCGTTTCCACCAAATATCGAACATAATTATGTCAAAACTGTCAACGTCTCTTGTTGATAGATACATTTGTTTTTGAACTTGTTAAAAATCTATTAGGCTGTTCATTTGTACTTGCTACCTGCTCGAAAAATCAGTAAGATTTGCTAGGAGCTGCTATTTATGAGCTTATTAAGTTATGGGACAAGTGAACGCCGATCAGCTGCTGAGATCTGCTTGAAGCAAGAAAAGCAGTACAAATGAACATCCTATATTTTTACATGATTAGACTGATATTCCATAAGTTTCAGATTTTACGAGATATCGAGGAGGTAAACGTCAGTCTCGATGAATCTAAAGCCTGGTTTTCGCTTATAGAATTTTTCAAAAAATTTCATTGACGGGAAACGTCAATTTCACCAGTGACGTTTTTGATTAGTAGGACTAGTTCACAAAACAACCTATTTCTATTTCTATCTTTTACAGGCTAACAGAGAGAGATACAAATACACTCCAGTGCGCGTTAAATCGAAAACCTCATAAAATACAATCTCACAGAGAATTCTACGTTTCAGGCACAGACTATCCGGAAGATAACGAAGAGTTATCCTATAGTTATCCGGCAGAAGAGGAGAATACCGAAAACGGCGTCGACCCTTTCGACACTGACAGCAGCGATGACGTCAACAGCGACGAAGGCGCCTGCTACGACAAACGCACCACCATCTGTGTCGTTTCCAACGAAACGTCGCCTACTATCAGCAATGAACGGTACGGATGACATCTCTATTATAATAATGTCAAAGAGCCTTTGTTTTTTTCTTTTGACAGTTGACAGATGAACAATGCACCTCTTAACTGTTCCATACATGTAATTTTTTCAATAGGTAGATACACTCTGTATAAAATTGGAATTTTCAGAATTTGTAGAGGCGTTTGTGTACTTTCACTTGAGCTATTTATATGTTTTCATTGAAATTGTATCAGTAGTTCAATGCGTGGTTTTTAACAAGTTAACAAGTATTTTATATACAGGGCGTCCCACCAGGAATGAAATAAATCTATGTCTGAAAAACTGTATACATTAAATTTGATAGTATACCAATGTCAATGGGGGCAACCCGGCTAAAATATTTTCAAGATGATGGGACGTGTATCTGATTGCATATTTGGATTCTATGTAAAATTCTGAGCAGATTTCATGGTATATACCTATACCTAAGTTCAATATTCATACTTGAAAATTGACTTTTTGCAACTTTGTCCCTTGCTTTGTCCTAACGGTTAATTTTAGAGGAAAACCCATCTTACATTCTTTTCTTAGATTTTCAGAAACTATCATTTGACAGCAACTTTGGATTTAATCTGTGATCAAAAATTCCGGTTAATTTTAATATCCGGTTAAATTCAAAATAATTGGTGTTAAATGATGGATTATAAATATTTAAGACAAGAGCTCTGTTAGAACCGACATGATAGGTAGGATAAACGTTCAACTCATTGAAAAATAGGTAGGTAACTGGAAATTACTGGTTCTAGAACGGTTCTCATGTCGGTTCACACACAGCTAGGAATATAAGATTGGTTTACCTTTAAAATTAACCGGTTAGAGCCAATTTTAAGGGATTGACCAATCAGTCATCTTGATAAATAAACCATTAATTCATAGCATTATTTAAGCGTCATTTGTCAAACAATTCGTCTTTACTGACGTAAAATGCTCTATCAAGATGTCAATCGCTTAAAATTGGCTTAGGTTTTACAGCCTGTCAAAGATGTAAAAAAGTCAATTTTCAACTGTCAATATTTCCAAAACAGTTGAACTTAAATATAAAGGTATATCACATCACATGAGCAGAATTTTACGTAAAATCCAAATATACAATCATACAGGGTCCCAACTATTTCATAGGGACAGCATTGATTGCTATCTCGGGAACGGATAAAGTTACGAGGGCGTTTAAATTAGAAAAAAGTTGCCATTTTTGACGAATGTTAAAAATATAATACTTTTGAATTTGAACTATGTCCCTAAAATCAATAGATTTTAAAATATTTGATAAAATTGTTTCAGCAAATTTTCATAAATCACCCTGTATTTACGAAACTAATAGGAATTTGGCAACAGCGAAAATATATTTTTATTATTCTTCAAAAATGGTAACTTTTTTCTAATTTAAACGCCCTCGTAACTTTAACCATTCCTGAGATAGCAATACTGTCCCTATGAAATAGTTGGGACCCTGTATATAGGGTGTGACGTTTAAAGTAATAAGCAAGTTGACGCCTACTTCTGGTATAACGGAAAAAAGCACCATCTTAAAAATATTTTAGCCGGGTTGCCCCCATTGACATTGCTATAATATCAAATTTTCGAAAATTTTCTGCTTAGTTTCTCATAATACCTATACAGGGTGTCCATTTAGTGCGATATCGGACGATATCTCCTCACAGGGTGATGCAAGAAGAAAAAGTTAAATTACAAAGTTGTTTGATATTTTAATATGCATTAGTTAAAAATATTTTTGAATACACAGGGTGCTCCGTTGATGGGGTACGCGACAGAACTTTGTTATTTTAAATGAAACACCCTGTATGTGATTGCATATTTAGATTCTACGTAAAATTCTGAGCATATTTCATAAAATATACCCTTTACTTACCTAAGTTCAACTGTTTTAGAAATATTGACAGTTGAAAATTGACTTTTTGCAACTTTGACAGGCTGTAAAACCTAAACGATTAATTTTAAAGGAGAACCGATTTTACATTCTTACCTTAGATTTTCATAACCTATCATTTGACATCAGCTTTAAATTTAACTGGAGATTAAATTTGGCTGAAATTTTTAATCATGGATTAAATTCAAAATGAGGGTGTCAAATGATAGTTCATGAAAATCTAAGACAGGAATGTAAAATTGGTTTTGCTGTAAAATTAACCGTTTAGATTTTATAGCCTGTCAAACTTGCAAAAAGTCAATTTTCAACTGTCAATATTTCCAAAACAGTTAAACTTAGGTATAGGGTATATTACATGAAATCTGCTCAGAATTTTACGTAGAATCCAAATATGCAATCAAATACAGGGTGTTCCGTTTAAAAAAACAAAGTTCTGTCGCATACTCCATAAAGGGAGCACCCTGTATATTCAAAAATGCTAATGCCTATTAGAATATCAAACAACTTTGTAATTGAACTTTTTCTTCTTGCATCGCCCTGTAAGGAGATATCGCCCTGTATAGATCGATTTGTTCCCGGTGGGACACCCTTTATAAAATCGCCCTGTATGTCGTAAACTGATTTTTTGAGATAAATCCAAATACCTAAGTTGTGTCAATGCATATAAATGTTCATTGTACTTTCAAAATTTTAACTTTTTACAGGATGTATCAGAAAATTTACCAGACGCCTTTTTTTTATGTAGCCTTCCAAAATCATCCTGTACATCGCAAACTGATTTTCTTGGGAAAAATCCAAATGAGTTATGTCAAAGAACATAAGCCTCTTTCTGAACTGTGTAAATTTCAACTTCATATAGGATGGAAGATTACAGGGTGTCTTTTTGTAAGGAAACGAATTTTTGTATTGACTTCCAAAATCACCCTGTAATAGCATTTTTGGAAAAAATACAATTTTTTCGGAAAAATTTTGGAAAAAATCCAAATGCTGTTCCATAGTCGTCTTCTTAAACTGTGAAAATTTCAATTTTATACAAGATGTATCAAAAAATCTTTTTGGAAGAGAACTAATTTCTGTATTGTTTTCCAAAATCACCCTGTAGATACATAAATCGCAAACTGATTTTTTTGGGAAAAAATCCAAAATGAGCTATGTCAAATACTTAGACGTCTCTTTGAACTGTGAAAATTTGAACTTTATACAGGGTGCATCAAAAAATCTACAGGTGTCTTTTTGGAAGGAAACTAATTTTTGTATTGCTTTCCAAAATCACCCTGTATATCGCAAACTGATTTTTTTTTGGAAAAAATGCAAATCAGTTGTGTAAAGTAGGTACATAAACGTTTCTTTGAACTGTCAAAATTTCGACTTTATACAGGTTGTATTAAAAAATTTACAGGATGTTTTTTTGAAAGGGATCGAGTTTTTGAATTGCCCTTTATAGTATGTCGTAAACTTATGGCGTTCCCCATTGGTAGTTCTAGTGCGGAACTAGTGCAATTTTTCTTATTTCTGTCTTTTTCTTCTACAGGTCAATTAAAAGGATGCAAATACACTCAGTGCGCATTGAATATACCAATCGGAAACGCCATAATTATTTTGGACTTGCGTGAAAACTCATACAAGTCTTTTTCAAGTGTAAAAATGTCAACTTTATGCTGTCAACTGTCAATAAAAGTGGGCACTGAGAGCAAAATCTTAATCGCTATCAACTAGATCCATTGCCATATAACTTTCCAAGCAAAGATCGTTATTATGGCGTTTCCGGTTGGTAAGTTAGTGCAAAGAAAATGTGTTTCTATCTGTTTCTTCAACAGGCTGAGAGAAAGAGATGAAAATACAATCATTGCACATTGAATCTACCAATCGGAAATGTAATTAGTTAACACCTTTATTAACTATCAACAATCTCAGTTATTAAATACAAAAAAAAATCCTATTAGACTCTTTTTGGTCTAATTCAATCATCATCCATCTTTCTTTAATGAAAAGGATTAAAAGAAGACAAATAATATCTGCTACTGATCGCTACTGATAATCGGATTGATAAGATTGTAGTTGACCTTCAAATAGGTATGTCGTTTCCAACAAAACATCGCCTACTATCAGCAATGAACGATGAAAATGACATTTCTGTCATACCTAATAGTGTTAAAAATGTCTTTTGGTGTTGGTGTTTCCTTCTTTTGACAGTTGACAGATAAACAATGCTTTTTACCTCTTAGCTTTTTCATGTAATTTTTTTAATACACCCTCGTATAAAGTTGAAATTTTAGGAATTTGTATAGGCGTTTATATGCTTTTACTTCAGTAATTCACTGCGTGATTTTTGAAAAGTTAACAAGTTTTTGTATATAAAATCATCGAGAAAATCACTTTGTAAGAAAACGTCTTTTAAAACTGTAAAAATTTCAACTTCATACAGGATGTATTAAAAAATCTACAGGGTGTTTTTTTGAGAGGGACCGAATTTTTTTATTGCTTTCCAAAATCACCCTGTACATCGTAAACTGATTTAAAAAAAAAATCCAAATGAGTTGTGTCCAAGTACAGTCGTTGGCTTGAAAAGTGGGACACCCGTTTTTTCCTATTGTAAAACGAGCACATCAGCTATACCTATACGGCAATGACAGGGATTGCCATATTTGACAAAAAATCCATTGTAGAGAAAAGACTGATTTACCCAAAATAGCGAAAAATGACAAGACCTGTCAGTCGGGTGTCCCACTTATTATGCTAACGACTGTACACCAGGATCGTATTCGAAAAAATAAAGTTGATGATGGCCGCCCAAAGACAAAACGTCGAATCTGAAATTTTGTAGCAACATCTGGTAAAGGGGAAATTGTGACAACGATGAAGTGACATTTATTTTAAAATTGCTCTTCAAAGAGACTCAGGAAAAAATACAAATGATTTTGCGAAATTTCGGTTTTTCCCGAATATCTTCGGAAGTATTCGGAATTTTTCAAATTTCAAAACAGCATTTTATTAGTCATAAAATTGCGCAACTTTGCCCATAATTTAACCGACCTCTTATAGTTTCCGATATCTCAATGGTCACCCTCGAATTTGGGACACCCTGTACATCGCAAACTAATTTTTTTGGAAAAAATCCCAATGATTTGTATCAAAGTACATAAATGTGTCTTTGAACTGTGAAAATTTCAACTTTATACAGGATGCATTAAAAAAATCTACAGGGTGTCTCTTTGGAAGGGAGCGAGCACCCTGTACATCGCAAACTAAGTTTTTGAAAAAAATTCAAATGAGTCGTAAGAAAGCACATTAATGTCTCTTAACTTTGAAAATTTCAACTTTATACAGGATGTATCAAAAAATCTGCAAATTGTCTTTTTGACAGGGAATAAGTTTTTTTATTGCCTTCCAAAATCACCCTGTATAACGAAAACTGATTTTTTCTGGAAAAATCCGAATGAGTTATAAGGAAGCACATTAATGTCTCTCTCAACTTTGGAAATTTCAACTTTATACAGGATGTATCAAAAAATCTGCAGGTTGTCTTTTTGACAGGGAACAAGTTTTTGTATTGCCTTCCAAAATCACCCTGTGTAAAGAAAACTGATTTTTTCTGGAAAAGTCTGAATCAGTTATAGGAAAGCACATTGATATCTCTCTCAACTTTGAAAATTTCAACTTTATACAGGATGTATCAAAAAATCTGCAGGTTGTCTTTTTGACAGGAAACAAGTTTTTGTATTGCCTTCCAAAATCACCCTGTGTAATGAAAACTGATTTTTTCTGGAAAAGTCTGAATCAGTTATAGGAAAGCACATTGATATCTCTCTCAACTTTGAAAATTTCAACTTTATACAGGATGTATCAAAAAATCTGCAGGTTGTCTTTTTGACAGGGAACAAGTTTTTGTATTGCCTTCCAAAATCACCCTGTGTAATGAAAACTGATTTTTTCTGGAAAAGTCTGAATCAGTTATAGGAAAGCACATTGATATCTCTCTCAACTTTGAAAATTTCAACTTTATACAGGATGTATCAAAAAATCTGCAGGTTGTCTTTTTGACAGGAAACAAGTTTTTGTATTGCCTTCCAAAATCACCCTGTGTAATGAAAACTGATTTTTTCTGGAAAAGTCTGAATCAGTTATAGGAAAGCACATTGATATCTCTCTCAACTTTGAAAATTTCAACTTTATACAGGATGTATCAAAAAATCTGCAGGTTGTCTTTTTGACAGGGAACAAGTTTTTGTATTGCCTTCCAAAATCACCCTGTGTAAAGAAAACTGATTTTTTCTGGAAAAGTCTGAATCAGTTATAGGAAAGCACATTGATATCTCTCTCAACTTTGAAAATTTCAACTTTATACAGGATGTATCAAAAAATCTGCAGGTTGTCTTTTTGACAGGAAACAAGTTTTTGTATTGCCTTCCAAAATCACCCTGTGTAATGAAAACTGATTTTTTCTGGAAAAATCTGAATCAGTTATAGGAAAGCACATTGATATCTCTCTCAACTTTGAAAATTTCAACTTTATACATTATGTATCAAAAAATCTGCAGGTTGTCTTTTTGACAGGAAACAAGTTTTTGTATTGCCTTCCAAAATCATCCTGTATAACGAAAACTGATTTTTTATGGAAAAATCCGAATGAGTTATAGGAAACCACATCAATATCTCTCTCAACTTTGAAAATTTCAACTTTATACAGGATGTATCAAAAAATCTGCAGGTTGTCTTTTTGACAGGGAACAAGTTTTTTTATTGCCTTCCAAAATCACCCTGTATAACGAAAACTGATTTTTTCTGGAAAAATCCGAATGAGTTACAAGGAAGCACATTAATATCTCTCTCAACTTTGGAAATTTCAACTTTATACAGGATGTATCAAAAAATCTGCAGGTTGTCTTTTTGACAGGGAACAAGTTTTTTTATTGCCTTCCAAAATCATCCTGTATAACGAAAACTGATTTTTTATGGAAAAATCCGAATGAGTTATAGGAAATCACATTAATATCTCTCTCAACTTTGAAAATTTCAACTTTATACAGGATATATCAAAAAATCTGCAGGTTGTCTTTTTGACAGGAAAAAAGTTTTGGTATTGCCTTCCAAAATTACCCTGTATAACGAAAACTGATTTTTTCTGGAAAAATCCGAATGAGTTACAAGGAAGCACATTAATGTCTCTCTCAACTTTGGAAATTTCAACTTTATACAGGATGTATCAAAAAATCTGCAGGTTGTCTTTTTGACAGGGAACAAGTTTTTTTATTGCCTTCCAAAATCACCCTGTATAACGAAAACTGATTTTTTCTGGAAAAATCCGAATGAGTTACAAGGAAGCACATTAATGTCTCTCTCAACTTTGGAAATTTTAACTTTATACAGGATGTATCAAAAAATCTGCAGGTTGTCTTTTTGACAGGGAACAAGTTTTTTTATTGCCTTCCAAAATCACCCTGTATAACGTAAACTGATTTTTTTTTGGAAAAAGTTATAGGAAAGCACATTAATGTCTTTGTCAACTTTGGAAATTTCAACTTTATACAGGATGTATCAAAAAATCTGCAGGTTTTCTCTTCGACAGAGAACAAGTTTTTGTATTGCCTTCCAAAATCACCCTGTATAACGTAAACTGATTTTTTTTTGGAAAAATCCAAATGAGTTATAGGAAAGCACATTAATGTCTTTGTCAACTTTGGAAATTTCAACTTTATACAGGATGTATCAAAAAATCTGCAGGTTTTCTCTTCGACAGAGAACAAGTTTTTGTATTGCGTTCCAAAATCACCCTGTATAACGAAACCTGATTTTTACTGGAAAAATCAGAATGAATTATAGGAAAGCATATTAATCTCTTTCAACTTTAAAAATTTCAACTTTATACAGGATATATCAAAAAATCTGCAGGTTGTCTTTTTGACAGGAAGCAAGTTTTTGTATTGCCTTCCAAAATCACCCTGTATAACGAAAACTGATTTTTTTATGGAAAAATCCGAATGAGTTACAAGGAAGCACATTAATGTCTCTCTCAACTTTGGAAATTTCAACTTTATACAGGATGTATCAAAAAATCTGCAGGTTGTCTTTTTGACAAGGAACAAGTTTTTGTATTGCCTTCCAAAATCACCCTGTGTAATGAAAACTGATTTTTTCTGGAAAAATCTGAATCAGTTATAGGAAAGCACATTGATATCTCTCTCAACTTTGAAAATTTCAACTTTATACAGGATGTATCAAAAAATTTGCAGGTTGTCTTTTTGACAGGAAACAAGTTTTTGTATTGCCTTCCAAAATCACCCTGTACAACGAAAACTGATTTTTTATGGAAAAATTCGAATGAGTTATAGGAAAGCACATTAATATCTCTCTCAACTTTGAAAATTTCAACTTTATACAGGCTGTATCAAAAAATCTGCAGATTGTCTTTTTGACAGAGAACAAGTTTTTGTATTGCCTTCCAAAACCACCCTAAACTGATTTTTTCTGGAAAAATCCGAATGAGTTATAAGAAAGCACATTAATGTATCTTTCGACTGTGAAAATTTTAACCTTATACAGGATGTATCGAAAAATTTACAGTTTGTCTATTTGAAAAATAACGAGTTTTTGTATATGGTTTCTAAAAATTACCCTGTATGTTGTAATAGTTATTTACCTAACAAATGCGGAAAGTGATACTTTACCGCACGCAACGGCAGTTGACTGAACGACGCGGAGCGGAGTTCGGTCAAGCCGTTAAGGGCGGTAAAGGCACTTTCCGCATGTGTTAGGTACAAAATTTTACCTATGAGCATCTACATCTCTAAAAAAAGGCATTGATAAAATGAATTATTGAATCAGATTAATTAATGAAACTAAATTAGATATAGAAATGATCAAAAATCCATTTTCTGAATAAGAGAGGATTTCTGATTAAAAATATCAAATTTTACTTTACCGCACACTATGCGGTAAAGTGCACTTTACCGCACACTTTGTAGTCCACTTTACCGTATACTATGCTGTAAAGTTAACTTTACCGCACACTATGCGGTAAAGTGCACTTTACCGTATAGTGTGCGGTAAAGTGATACTTTCCATTTGCAAATACGTGCGGTAAAGTGCACTTTACCGCACGCTCGTAGGTAAACTAATTATTTTGGAGTTGCGTGAAAGCTTATGAAAGTCCCTTTCAAGTGTTAAAATGTCGCACTGAGAGTAAAATCGAAATCGCTATTAACTATAGATTCATTGACACATAATATTCCAACCAAAAATCGTTATAATTATGTCGTTTCCGGTTGGTGGAATTAGTGCGAAAGAAAATTCATTTCTATCTGTTTCTTTAACAAGTTGAGAAAAAGAGATGAAAATACACTCAGTGCACATTGAATTTGCCAATTAGAAACACAAGGCGAGATCGGATAATCCTCCGCTAGCAGAGAGCTGACTGTCCCCACGTGATAACTGATCACTTTTCTATTACTTCACGTGAGCTTCTGTCAACAGTGTCATCTTTGAAATCGCAGAGGATTAACCGATCTCGCCCACAAATAAACACACCTCTGTCAACTATGTCAATAGTGTCAGTTGTCAAACACAAAAAAAAATCATATTAGGCCTTTTTGGCTAATGCGATCATCAGTCATCCTTCTTCAATGAAAAAGGTTAAAAAAAGACAAATATAACATCAGCTACTGATGATGGGTTAATACGCTGGTAGTTGGTCTTCTTCAAATACCTAATTATTCTTTTTTTTTCCAAATCAAAATTAGACATTCGGACGAGTTGCTGCCGCCAAACAACTGTCACCGACTGACGTCGAAATCGTCTTCGACGCTCCTCGACGGCTGTCAGCTGCCTCAAATCTCATTGGCAGACGTACACCGCTTGTCGTCGTCCAGCGGACAAATAAATCGGAAAATCGGATGGGCGCAAGAGACGCTTTTCTAGCCGAATTTTTCAATAAACACTAGCTCTGTTCCAACCGACATAAGAATCAGTAATTTCCAGTTGGTCACCTATTTTTCAATAAGTTGAACGTTTCTATGATCCTACTTAACAAATGAATTAATTGACCGTTCTAGAATGGTTCTTATGTCGGTTGGAACAGAGGTACTATTAAATAAAAAACGGGTCAATGTTGTGTCGAAGTATTAATAATATATAGAGCATTTTTCTGTGTAAAATAAATAAACGTAAATACAGGGTAGGATTAATTTATTTTCAATAATATGAAATTATTTTGTTACTTTTTTAAAATCCCCTTGCCCCCAATCTCTATAGAGAAGTATGATATAGGTGATTTTTTTTTTTTTGAGGCGTCCCTGTATATTGTTTTATAGCTGAAGGCATCATATCTTTATAGCTATAATACAGGGTGTGTGTAAAACAAAAAGGCAAATATTGGAAAATATTAAATTAAGCCAGTTGTAGTAGAGAGCTTATTATATGTACAAGTTTTTGTTTTTATACAGGGTGTTTTTTTTTTTTCAAACTGAATTGGAAAATTCTAGCCTAGTTATAGTTACAATGTGTTCATAGTTTACACACACCCTGTATAGAAAATATTTTTGAATGAAACAAATAAATATTTTTCTTACCTACTAATCTGTAATATTTCTCCTGGCAAATAAATAAATAAATAGGCTAATAAAAAAATAATATTGTAAATTACATTAAAAAAAAACTGTTAATAAAAACTGTAAGGGCTGGTTTATTCATCTTCGGATAAACTGTCAGGGCAGATTGACAGATAAAAGCGCAATCTGTAGGTATTCCCATTGATCGGGTAAATAGTTACCAGCAAGTTCATTTGATGCTGAATAAACCGTGCCTTAGTGTACCTATATTTATTGTATATTTTTTATTATAAATAGCTTAAAAAAAGAAAAATCAAAGAGTTAATTTTTACGTTTGTGAAACCAAAATGAACGCAATAAATGTATTGGTTGTTTAATACGGCCTGGAATTATTCAATCCCGAAATTCCCTATTTGGACACAAGTGAAATTTTGTATGTATTGAATTCGTCCATGAGTGTGGGCCATATTTGGTAGCCTGTCTCACCTTGTCCAATATGACTAATAATGAATTTGTACCCACCTTAATCACATATACAGGGTGGTTGAATTATTTTTATATGCAGCGCCATCTATAAATCAAAGTCCATTGATTTTTAAGAGATGATGCTGCTTAATTTTGTGTAGGTATGACAATATAATTAATTGAAAAATTGCCTTATAAATGAATTTAATTAGTTAATTCGATCAATAAAATTGAATTTAGATCAATAAGATTGAGGAGTTTTTGCATTTTAAAAACTTATAGCAGTTGTATGTCGCTTTTACAAAAATTCCAATCAATTTTGATGCCCATTTTCAATGCATTTCCTATAAGCAAATTAACAATGAAATTTTTTTTAAATAATCATTTAATATGTGATCAATCAACCAAATCTACATACGGCGATCAAGTTCTGAAAACTCTCTCGCGAGTAGGTCGCCCATGACCATAAACGTAGAAACAACAGGTTTGTCCTTTAATCGCGATTTTTTTCAGGGGCGGCCTAAGTGGGCGGCAAGTCTGGGAGGGTGGGAGAGTCGAATTCGTACAGCATTAAATCCGATAAACGATAAAGTCAGTTTCGAAATCGCGCTCCATCCCAAAAGAGTTTTGTGTGTGTGCTACTACTTGTTTTAAGGTACTAAAAATTTACTAAAGTAAGTACAATCTGTATAGGTTGATTGTTACAGGGTGTTTCTTTTAATATTCTTAATGGAAGTTAACTCAGTTTTTCTGAAACACCATATATTGCATATATATATTTAGGTTTTTCGAAATTAATACACAGATGCTTACTTTTAGAAATACATAATACAGAAAGTTTGAAATTTTTAAAACCTACAAAGTTCCACTTTTTAGCATCAAAATCACTAAACTTTAAACTCTAAACTCTGGCCTTTATACATGGAAAAATAATCGATATCTCGTTCAGGAATTTCTATTCCATCAAGCAGATGGATAATTTAATGGTGCCTGGTACAAGACAACATACAAGTCTTGACCCCAAAAAATATACAGACGCAAACATCATAATCTAAAAATATAAGCAAGACGAAACCTTAAAAAAAACCAGTTACAGTTTCCTGATATTATTTTTCTTTAGTCCGACCATAATTATTATACCATCATGGGCGGTATGACGCAACGACCATGGACTCCCACCAAACGTCGCGGACCCATTGCCGCCGAATACAATAGTCCAGGACCAGCTTGTGTCGCTCTACAATCATCTATTGGTCAGTATTGGTTTAGATTAAACAAAAATAGATAGTTTGACTGGTATTTTGGGTAATTTTTGGTACAAATTTGGTTTTTATAGAAATTAGAATGGACTCAATAGCCCATAAAACTACCATGTAAAATTCAAATTCGATAACGGTTTTTGAATAATGGCAACCCAATAGATGTCGCTAGCAAATCGCCAATGGCGGTATCGCGTTTTTTTTGTAGAAATGTAGAAATTCACAGATATTGAGAAAATATTGAGAAGTTCATGTTTTTTCTATTCCAGGCTCTTGAATTATCTTCATTTCGACAAATTGAAGAGCCGGGAATAGACAAAAATTAGGCTGGAAAAATTGAGAAATAGAGACAAGAAATTCTAGAGAAATTGAGAAAAAAATGATTGAGTGCAAGATGTTAGGATATTCATGTATTTTCTATTCCAGGCTTTTGAATTATCTTCATTTCGACTCCTCCTTATCCTTCCATATTAGTATAAATTTAATCCCATGTACAATTTTTGAATTATTGTCATCTGATCAAATAATTTTGTACCTATATTTTCGTATAAATCTGCATTTGTTGATCGATCGAGTGTACGCCACTGGTGTCACCCTGTTTCTGACAACTTACCAGTGGCCCGGGCCCCCCATCAAGTCAATTTCCTACAACCCCCTTAACCTTCCAAGTTAGTATGTGTTTAATCTCATGTACAGTTTTTGAATAATTGTCATCTAATTATATAATTTTGTATATTTTCGTATAAATCTGTATTCCTTGGTCGATTGAGTGTACGCCACTGGTATCACCCTGTTTCTTACAACCGCCCCTTTCATGTTAGTATGAATTTAATCCCATGTACAGTTTTTGAATAATAATATATATTTCTAAAACGGCTTGATTAAAAGTAGTTAAACCATATTTCAAATCAGAAAATTCTACTCTTTCCATCTATGAAGTCATATACAGTGTGTTTCAAAAGTCTGGGAACGGTCAAATATTTCCATAGCGGCTTGGAATAGAATTACGAAATTTTTTGCATATGGGTAATTAATGATGCCCGATTCAATGATCATATCGATAATGTTGCCAAATTTACCGGTTTTCAGATAATCTATGTAACTTCGTTTTTTTAAATAGGAATGCCACTTTATTTTCATTTGTATAAATTCGGCGCCCTTTTGTTATTGAAACCTCTCCATATCATGTCCCTATCTCACATGGTTTCTGAAATATTGCAACACAGCCTTTTTCTTCAAAAGTCTGGGAACGCTCAAACATTTAAAGAGCGGCTTAAAATAGAATTACAAAATTTTCTGCATATTATGGGTAATTAATGATGCCCGATTTAATGATGACATCGACAATGTTGCCAAGTTTACCGGTTTTCATATAATGTATAGGTAACTTCGTTTTTTTTAAATAGGAATACCACTTTATTTTGATTGCAGTAAATTCAGCGCTCTATGGTTATTAAAACCTCTCGATATCATGTTCCTATTTTACACGATTTCTGAAATATTGCAACACAGCCTTTTTGTTCAAAAGTCTGGGACCGGTCAAATATTTCCAGAGCGGCTTGCAATAGAATTACAAAATTTTCTGAATATGGGTAATTAATAATAATAATGCCCGATTCAATGATGACATCGAGAATGTTGCCACGTTTACAGGTTTTCAGATAGTGTAGGTAACTTCGTTTTTTTTTTTTTTCTAATAGAAATATCACCTTATTTCTTATGCAATTTTGGTATTCTATTGTAAGTGAAACCTCCTGATATCAAATCCTCATTTCAAGTAGTTTTTGAAATGAGGCAACACAGACTTTTTGTTCAAAAGTTAGAGAACAGTGGAGTATTTTGACAAAGGCTTAAAATAGGATATTCAAAATTTGATGAAGAGACGTTATTGTGATGCTCAATTGACGTGTCTCGCAGAAATAGAAAAAGAGAGCTTAATTGTAATAAATACAAGTTAGAAAGTAATAAAAAATGACATGCGCGCACAACTCGTGGCTGCAGTGTAGCCAGATTGTATTGTTGCAAAACAAATGTAGACAATACAAATCGAACATTATAACATTAAAGAAGTATTATAGTCTCAAGTGTTTCACAACGCCTTAAATCAGACAAAAGAAGAGCTTTAAAGTGTATGTTTACACCGATGGCACTTTTATTTTGATAAATGTTTCATCTGGCAATATCGCACAATGGAAATATGTCAAGTATAATTTAACATAACCTTAAACAACACTGGGATAAGTTCAAGTAATACGTAAAGTATTAGTTTGCTCTTTGTCGAATTACACGTTACAAAGAAAGAAGAAACGATTAATTCTGAACTCGTCCCTGAATACGAATATGACGCAAGCCCGTAACAAACTCAATTTTCATTGGACGCTCACCTGCAACCCACGAGTTGCGCGCGCACACCAGGTATTACGAGACACGTCAATTCAATAATGGCATCAACAAATATCAAAACATCGATACGCTGGGATTTACTCAGTTCGAAATTCATTTTGACAAAACTTTGAAGGAACTTGACACATCTGATAATTACCTCTACCACTGGTTAATAAACAAATAAATATCTAAATTTTTATTTATTGTTTCGACAAATTGCTAAACAATACAGGGAGTATCGGGTAGATCAGGTATGAGTAAAAAACTTTAACATGAGATAATATGACCTATTTTAAGCCAAGATTGTCCTATTAGGGCTACTAATCATGAGTCAATTGTTAGTATTTTCGGAATTGTCGCAAAATTTAAATTTAAAAAAATGTTAACAACGTGACAACATTGTAGAGATCATCTCTACCAGGATATTAGGTAAATAAAACTGGTAAATTCTATTTTTTTGCAAGCATTTCATTTATTTCCAGCTGTTTGCGTTTTGGTTTGTTATTCGCTTTCAAATAATGTAAATAATAATTTGCATTTTTATCACTTTTCTAGTCAAAATAAATTAAGAATTGCACATGACATTTTTGCTCTGGACATTCACGAGAAAAAAAATTTACACACTTACACTTCCCATATCACGCAATCTTTGTAAAACGGGCCCAATATTCTTTCAGGTGGGCGCCCTTATATTGGGAAATCTTTCCCTGTAAATTCTGGCGGCTAAATGAGCATTTTGCAACGATTCTGCCTTAACAAGTATTTTTTATTATTATTGTTGACTAAAAATGCATTATTACTTAATAATTGAATGAGTTTTTTTTTTGATCTCATAATGATTAAAATTTCCTTTATCTTTCAAATATTTGTCAAAGATCTTTTTCTTAAAAATGATTTTGTTTGGTTTGGACGTCATGTTGTAAAAACTTTTTTTCTTCAAAATGGGCCATATTTTCAAGTGTTAAAACTTTTGTAGTCAAACCTGATACATCCTGTATAAAATATCAATTTATACTCGATAACCAGTTTTTTTAGTGATATTTGTGCCGATATTATTAAGATAAAATATTTTCCTGGGGTGATATTTTCTCAAATATCGAATTAACCCCTAGAAAATGTAATCCTACTTTTAGTCCTCTTAAAAATTTGACCGTTCCTAGACTTTTGAACAAAAACGCTGTGTTGCAATATTCCAGAAACCGTGTAAAATAGAGACATAATATCAAGAGGTTTTGATAAGAATAGAGCTCCGAACTTATTGCTATGAAAATAAAGTGGTATTCCTATTTTAAAAAAACGAAGTTACCTACATTATTTGAAAACCGGTGAACTTGGCAACATTGTCTTTGTCATCATTGAATCGGGCATCATTAATTATCCATGTGCAGAAAATTTCGTAATTCTATTTCAAGCCACTCTTCAAATATTTGAGCGTTCCCAGACTTTTGAACAAAAAGGCTGTGTTGCAATATTTCAGAAACCATGTGAGATAGGGACATGATATGAAGAGGTTTCAATAACAATAGGGCGCCGAATTTATAGCAATGAAAATAAATTGGTATTCCTATTTGAAAAAACGAAATGACCTACATTATCTAAAAACCGATGAACTTGGCAACATTGTCGATGTCATCATTGAATCGGGCATGATTAATTACTCATATGCAGGAAATTTCGTAGTTTTATTTCAAGCCGCTTTGGAAATATTTGAGCGTTCCCAAACTTTTGAACAAAAAGTCTGTGTTGCAATATTTCAGAAACCGTGTAAAATAGGAAACTGATATCAAGAGAGTTTAGTAACAATAGAGCGCCGAATTTATTGCAATGAAAATAAAGTGGTATTCCTATTTAAAAAAAACAAAGTTATCTACATTATCTGAAAATCGGTAAATTTGGCAACATTGTCGATATCATCATCGAATCGGGCATCATTAATTACCCATATGCAAAAAATTTCGTAACTCTATTTCCAGCCGCTCTGGAAAAATTTGACCGTTCCCAGACTTTTGAAACACACTGTATAGGGTGTTCTATGAGAAAAACTGACCATCTGTCAAAATTTGACATTTAAAAAAAAAACAATAAAGTTTTTGACATTGGATTCAAAAATTTCAGGTTAAACCTCAAAACTTTTGTATTTGCAATTTTTTGATATCTCTTTACATAACCTTTGTAGTGAGGGGGTCAATATATGGGGAAAGACCCTATACAGTTTTTGAATAATTGTCATCTGATTATAAAATTTTGTATATTTTCGTATAAATCTCCAATCGATGGTTGATCGAGTATACGTCACTGGTGTCGCCCTGTTTCTTACAACCCCCTTAACCTTCCATGTTGGTATGAATTTCGTTGGTCGAGCGAGTGTACGCCACTGGTGTCACCTTGTTCCTTAGAACCCCCTTAACCTTCTCTATTAGTGTGAATCTAATCCCATGTTCAGTTTTTGAATAATTGTCATCTGATTATATAATTTTGTATATTTTTGTATAAATCCCCATTCGAAGGTCGAACGAGCGTAAGCCACTGGTGTCACTTTGTTTTTGACAACCCCCTTTATCCTTGCTTGTTAGTATGAATCTAATCCCATGTACAGGGTGTCCGAATTTGGATGGTTTTGATAGGAAACGTCAATTTCTGAGTGAGATACAAAAAAATGAACCCCCCACTGCGAGGCTCAAATTTCTTAAAATTTTGATTGGTGCAAACCGCATTTTAATATCTTCAACCGTTTAGCCGCTAGAGGGCGATTTTCGATTTTGAGCAATACTGTGAAATCTTCATAACTTTTTTGTTTATGAAAATAACTGATTTCCGTAAAAACTTCCTAGAAGCACTTTTTCAAGCAGAACTCAGTGACGTTTTCAGTTTTTTTCTATTGGGCCTCCATTTCAAGATATTGACCAAAATACGATTTTTTTCAATGGAACACCCTATATATTAATAGCTCATCAGAAAGCTCTGCTTTTGCTGATTTCAATGATATAAATTTCGATAGGTTTATCTCTAACAGTTTTCGAGAAAAAAAATATTTCGGCTTTTGTCATAAGAAACAATGAGTTAGAAAGAGACCTTTCTCAGTTTCCTTACAGATATAAAGTCCTTTTCTTACACATTGCTTCTTATGACAAAAACCGAAATAATTTTTTTTCTCGAAAATTATTAGAGATAAATCTATCGAACTTTTATCATTGAAATCAGAAAAAGCCGAGCTTTATAATGAGTTATTAATATATAGAGTGTCCTATTGAAAAAAAACATACTTTGGTCAATATCTCGGAGTTGGAACCAACTGGAAAAAAACTGAGAACGTCACTGAATTCTGCTTGAAAAAGTGCTTCTAGAAAGTTTTTACGGAAATCAATAAAATTTCATGAAATTTAAACCTCAGAGTGGGGGGTTCATTTTTTTGTGTCTTGCTCAGAAATTGATGTTTTCTATTAAAACCATCCAAATTCGGACACCCTGTACAGTTTTTGAATAATTATAATCTGATTATATAATTTTCTATATTTTCGTATAAATCTCTATTCGTAGATTGATCGAGTGTACGCCACTGGTGTCACCCTGTTTCTTACAACTTACCAGTGGTGGGGGGGCAGGGGGCCCGGGCCCCCCCATCAAGGCTTCAGAGAAAAATACTCGGAAAAATAGAAAAATAATGAAATAGTGAATTTGTGTTTTTTCCTATAATTCTTTTTGCATGCCCCCCCCCCAGACAAAATGTCTGCGCCACTGCAACTTACATCCCCCATTTCGACAAATGCAAGAGCCGGAATTAGACCAAAATTGAAAAGGAAATATTGAGAAAAAATTCTAGAGAAATTGCGAAAAAATTAGTAGATATACCTAACAGATATTAGGATATTTATGTAATTTCCATTCTCTCGAATTTTCTTTCATTTCAATTAATTCAAGAGCCGGGAATAGACAAAAATTGAACTAGAAATAGAGATAAATGCAGAAGAAAATAACGGTTTCTAAATAATTCCAACCCAATAGATGGCGCTATAGCAACTCTCCAGTGGCGTATCGCATTTAAACCAATCCTTCTCACTCTTTAGGCAAAAAACCATTGGAAGCGAAAACAGGCAGCGCGCCAGCGTTCAGCTTCGGTGCGAAAAACAACGCGAAACTAGAAAGCATCGGACCCGGACCCGGACAATACAACGTCACCGGACTGAGTGCCAAAGGCAAGGACACTCCGCCCGCCCTTAGTTTGCACAGTCGCCCTAAAGATCCGAAATCGGACAACTTTCCTGCCCCGGGCGATTACAATCCGGACAAAGCTGAAAAAGTTATTCACGATGCTTCACCTAAATACACTTTTGGTTTGAAAACGAATGTCGGTAAACCTTTAGATACACCTGGTAAGTTTTTAACAAGGAAGTAGGTAATTAATACAGTTGTGGGTTGATTAATCGATACTAATTATTGGTTTTCTAATTATTAAAACAAAATAGCTCCTAATGCTTATAAACCTTTGGTGCGCAGCAGTAGCCACAGGTATTCGTTTGGACGGAAAACTACCCTATACAGACCCTCAAACACTCCGGGTTAGTTTTATTTATTTTTTTTAGTTTATTTTAATTGCATGCCTCCTCTAACCTGATTGCACAAACATTTTCTAGCACCCAACGTGTACAACATGCCCGAATCCGACTCTGCACCCAAATACACTTTTGGAGCGAAAACGCTCTTAGACAAACCCTCAAACACACCTGGTAATATTTATTTGTTTTTATTTATTTTTTCTATTTATTATTTTTGTAGCACCCAATGAATATAAAGTGGAAAAGGCCGACTCTGACACCCCCAAGTATAGTTTCGGCAATAAACTCAATACGGACAAACCTGTGGATACTCCTGGTGTGTTAATTTTTTAAGTATTACGCCCCTGGTTTAAGCTTAACACACTAGCACCATTTATTGACGTAACTGTCAAACTAACAATCTGATCTAATGTCAAATTGTGAAATCGCAGCAAACACATTTGTTTGTTTCGGATTCGCAGTGTTGCAAAATTGCCTCGATAATCTCTCGAGAAGTTCAACTTTATACAGGGTGTATTAAAAAAATTATATGGAAAGTTATAGGAGTCAATTCTGTTCTAGTGGAAACAAAATATGTTCATGCTTTGAAATTCTGTAGGTAACTTTTTTGATACATCCTGTATGAAATTGAAAATTTCGCAGTTCCATGGAACGTTCATATACATTTACGCAACTCATTTGGATTTTGGTCAAAATATTCATTTCACGACTTTGAGTCTTGATTTTGGAAAGCATGAAATAATGAAAACTTGTTCTCTTCCAAAAAAACACCCTGTAACATCTCTGTGATACATGCTATATAAAATTGAAATTTTCGCAGTTTAAAGGGACGTTCATGTACTTTCATACAACTCATTTAGATTTTTCCCAAAAAAATCAGTTTGCGATGTACAGGGTATTTGATTATATTTGACACCATATCTACAGCTTCTATTATTTAAGATAGAAAAAAAAATTTAAATACAAAACTTGACAGTTTTTTTTCTATATTTTCTTTTAACGTTATCAGAAAAAACAAAATCGCATCGGAAAAGGGAGAAACGTAGACAACTTCAACTTTTTTTAATGGAACACCCTATATATTTTGCGATAAAATGAAAGATCTTTTCTTCCTGATTCCAAATTATAAATTAAATCCAAAGAAATTTTTAAAATATTTGAATGTCTTGACATCCTTATGAAATTTCTGTGCAAATTATCTATAATTTAAGCTAAAATATGTCAAAAACTACTCACTCAAATGTGATAAATATATATATATTTGGAATCAGGAAGAAAAAATCTTTCATTTTATGGCAAAATATACAGGGTGTTCCATTAAAAAAAGTCGAAGTTGTCTACGTTTCTCCATTTTCCGATGCGATTTTGTTTTTTCTAATACCGTTAAATAAAAATATAGAAAAAAACTGTCAAGTTTTGCATTTAATTTTTTTTTCTATCCTAAATAATAAAGGCTGTAGGTATGGTGCTAAATATAATCAAATACCCTGTACAGGGTGATTTTGGAAGGCAATACAAAAACTCGCGGTTTCTTTTCAAAAAGACATCCTTTAAATTTTTTGATACATCCTGTATAAAGTTGAAATTTTAACAATTTAAATGAAAGTGCAGTTCCGAGTGCAGTTCCATGAGACGTTCATGTACTCTCACACAAATCATTTGAATTTTTCCCAAAAGAATCAGTTTGGAATGTACAGGGTGATTTTGAAAGGCAATACAAAAACCCGTCATTTTTCAAAAAGACATTCTTTAATTATTTTACGATATACAAGGTGTCGTGATTTTGAAAGATACATAAAACAATAAAAACTCGTTCCCTTCCAAAAAGACACCCTGTAACATTTTTGATACATCCTGTATATTATTGAAATTTTCGCAGTTCCAGGGGACGTTTATGTACTTTCACACAAATTATTTGGCGTTTTCCCAAAAAATCAGTGTGATATGTACAGGGTGATATTGGAAGGCAATACAAAAACTCGTTCCTTTTCAAAAAGACACCTTTTAAATTTTTTGATACATCCTGTATAAAGTTGAAATTTTCACAATTCAAAGAGACATCTATGTGTTTTCTTACGCCTCATTGGGAGTTTTGTCAGAATAATCATTTTACGATATAAGGGTGTCGTAATTTTGAAAGACATAAAAAAATAAAAATTTGTTCCCTTTCAAAAAGACACCCTGTAGCATCTTTGAAACATCCTGTATATTATTGAAATTTTCGCAGTTTTATAAGACGTTCATGTACTTTTACACAAATTATTTGGAGTTTTTCCAAAAAGATCAGTTTGAGATATACAGGGTGATATTGGAAGGCAATACAAAAACTCATTCCTTTTCAAAAAGACATCCTTTAAATTTTTTAATACATCCTATAAAAAGTTGAAATTTTCACAAGTCAAAGAGACATGTATGTGTTTTCTTACGCCTCATTCGGATTTTTGCCATATTAATCATTTTACGATATACAGGGTGTCCTGATTTTGAAAGACATAAAACAATAAAAATTTGTTCCCTCCCAAAAAGACACCCTGTAACATCTTTGATACATCCTGTATAATACTGAAATTTTTGCAGTTCCATGGGACGTTCATGTACATTTGAAATGTACAGGGTGATATTGGAAGGCAATACAAAAACTCGTTCCTTTTCAAAAAGACACCTTTTAAATTTTTTGATACATCCTGTATAAATTTGAAATTTTCCCAATTCAAAGAGACGTTTATGTGTTTCCTTACGCATCACTCGGATTTTTGCAATAGAATAATAATTTCACGATATACAGGGTGTCGTCATTTTGAAAGACATAGAACAATAAAAACTTGATCCCTTCCAAAAAGACACCCTAACATCTTTGATACATCCTGTATAATATTGAAATTTACGCAGTTCCATGGGACGTTCATGTACTTTCATACAAATTATTTGGAGTTTTCCCAAAAACATCAGTATGAGATGTGCAGGGTGATATTGGAGGGCAAGACAAAAACTCGTTCCTTTTCAAAAAGACACCCTTCAATTTTTTTTATATATCCTGTATAAAGTTGAAATTTTCACAATTCAAATAGACGTTTATGCGTTTTCTCAAAGCTCATTTGGATTTGTGCCAAAATAATTATTTTACGATATACAGGGTGTAACATCTTTGAAACATCCTGTATAATATTGAAATTTGCGCAGTTCCATGGGACGTTCATGTATCTTCACAAAAATCATTTGGATTTTTCCCAAAAATTCAATTTCAGATGTACAGGGTGATTCTGGAAGGCAATACAAAAACTCGTTCCTTTTCAGAAAGACATCCTTTAAATTTTTTTATATATCCTGTATAAAGTTGAAATTTTCACAATCCAAAGAAACGTTTATGTTTTTTCTTACGCCTTATTCGGATTTTTACCATATTAATCATTTTACTATATACAGGGTGTCGTGATTTTGAAAGACATAATAGACAATAAAAACTTGTTCCCGTCCAAAAAGACTCTCTGTAACATCTTTGATATATCCTGTATAATATTGAAATTTTCGCAGTTCCATGGGACGTTCCTGTACTTTCACACAATCTATTTGGATTTTTGCCAAAAAAATTAGTTTTGAGATGTACAGGGTGATATTGGAAGGCAATACAAAAACTCGTTCTTTTTCAAAAAGACTCCCTTTAAATTTTTTGATACATCCTGTATAAAGTTGAAATTTTCACAATTCAAAGAGACGTTTATGTGTTTTCTTACGCCTCATTCGGATTTTTGACAAAATAATAATTTTACGACATACAGGGTGTTGTGATTTTCAGACATAAAACAATAAAAATTTGTTCCCTTCCAAAAAGACACCCTGTAGCATTTTTGATACATCCTGTATAATATTGAAATTTTCGCAATTCCTTAGGGGACGTTCATGTACAGTCGTGAGCATAAAAAGTGGGACACCCGACTGACAGGTCTTGTCATTTTTCGCTATTTTGGGTAAATCAGTCTTTTCTCTCCAATGGATTTTTTGTCAAATATGACAATCCCTGTCATTGCCGAAGGTATAGCTGATGAGCTCAGGGAAAAACGAGTATCCCACTTTTTATGCTCACGACTGTGTTTTCATAAAAATAATTTGAATTTTTTCCAAAAAAAATTTTTCCAGATGTACAGGGTGATTTTGGAAGGCAATACAAAAACTCGTTCCTTTTTAAAAAGACACCCTTTAAATTTTTTGATACAAAGTTGAAATTTTCACAATTCAAAGAGACGTTTATTTGTTTTTTTACGCCTCATTCGGATTTTTGCCAAAATAATAATTTCATGATATACAGGGTGTCGTGATTTTGAAAGACATAAAACAATAAAAATTTGTTCCCTTCCAAAAAAAACACCCTGTAGCATCTTTGATAGATCCTGTATAATATCGAAACTTTGGCAGTTCCATGGGACGGTCATGTACTTTCACACAACTCATTTGAATTTTTTCCAAAAAAATCAATTTGCTATGTATTGGGTGTCCAAACTTCAAACTTTTTAAAAAACCCTTGTAGCATGAAAGCGACTTGACTCAATTTCTCTTGAAACTCGAGGCTCGCAAGTGGAGGGTCAGATCTTTTCCAACTCCTTTAGAAATACCCGAAACCCCCCAAAACCATCGAATCTTGGACACCCTGTACAGGGTGATTTTGAATTGAAAGGCAATACAAAAACTCGTTTCCTTTCAAAAAGACCCTATACATTTTTTGATACATCCTGTATAAAGTTGAAACTCTTACAATAACGGATTTATATCGAGTAACTTGCTAATAAATAATAATTTTTTTCTTTAACAAGCAATTCGCTATATTAGTGTGACGTCATAAATTGATAGCCTGTATCTAAACAAACTTCGAGTCTGTTCCCATTTACACTACTTTTTAACTGTAGTTTAATGTACGGGGTGGACACTTTCACTTTAGTATTGATCATGTTTCCACCAGTAAACATGTACTTGGTACTTTACACTTTACAGGTGTACATGTAAATTAATAGTATATTATTCAACGAACGGGTAAATGATGGCTATTACTCACCAAGGATGAAGTTTGCACTACGAGCCGCACGCGAGTAGTGTAATCATCCGAGTGAGTAATAGCCATTACCCACGAGTAGAATACTATGCTTTTTCTATGATTAATAGATAATAGGCCCGAGTTATGTGGTAATTTATTTCATTTTCGTAACAAAATTAATTGACAATTCTGACAGCTGGAGGACAAAGTGAGGTTAGGTTAGCACGAGTCTTGTCCAAATCAGCTGTCAAAATGACCGATTGGCAGGTTGAAGTATGTTATCAACTTGTCGAATTTTCTGATTGGCTCTAAAATAGTGGAGTATTGAGACTAGGGCTGGGATCACGACAAGTAGAATTCTACTTTCATGACGTCAGGTTGCCTAGCAACCGTCATCATCGCCTGTACTGTAGGCAATAAATAGGTCGCGGGTGACGTCATGAAAGTAGAATTCTACTTGTCGTGATCCCATTCCAGGATATTTTCATTTAAAATTAGGCACGTAAAGGTATGTGTTGCGATACAGTGAAGTTTGTTCAAATACAGTAATCGTACCCTATCTCAACATGTGACGTCATTACTGATGCTCCGTATTGAAAAATGTAAATTTAATCATTGGCCGTGTTTGTTTTCATTATCTTTTTCGTCGATTTGCTCCGAAATTTTGACAGGCACGTGACTGGATCACACAGTTTCAATTGACGTGTCTCGTAATACCTGGGGGCGGATTACGAACTCTCGATTCGAACCGAAACCGCCATGGATTTCGAACGCACTCCATGCGAATGCATCAGAACGCGTTCAAAATCCATGGCGGTTTCGGTTCGAATCGAGAGTTCGTAATCCGCCCACTGGTGTGCGCGCGCAACTCGTGGGTTGCAGGTGAGCGTCCAATGAAAATCGAGTTTTTTACGGGTTTGCGTCATATTCGTATTCAGGGACGAGTTCAGAATTAATCGTTCCTTCTTTCTTTGTAACGTGAAATTAGACAAAGAACAAACTAATACTTTACGTATTACTTGAACTTATTGCAGTGTCGTTTAAGGTTATGTTAGATTATACTTGACATATTCCTTGGCAATTTCATTGTGCGATGTTGCCGGATGAAACATTTATCAAAATAAAAGTCCCATCGATGTTAACATACACTTTAAAGCTCTTATTTTGTCTGATTTAAGGCGTGGTAAATACTTGACAATATATCATTTCTATAATGTTATAATGTTCGATTTTTATTGTCTACTTGTTCTGCAACAATACAATCTGGCTACACTGCAGCCACGGGTTGCGCGCGCATGTCATTTTTTATTACTTTCTAACTTGTATATATTACAATTAAGTTCTCTTTTTCAATTTCTGCGAGACACGTCAATTCACGAATCAAGTGCCTGTCAAAATTTCGGAGCAAATCCACGAATAAGATGACAAAAACAAACACGGCTATTGTTTAATTGTTTTTTTGTAGCTCCAAACGTCTACAATATCCCATCAGTAGTGGGTGACAAAAAAGGAGCGCCCGCTTACACGATTTCGGGCCGTAACAAGGAACCTCTAGACGAAAGAGTGAAAAATCCAGGTCCAGGCCAATACAACAACGTCGATCCGGAACATTACAAACAGCATTCGCCCGCCTACACCATGTCCGGAAGAACTAACGTCCCGAAAGACGAAACCATTCCGGGTCCGGGAGTTTACTCTCCAGAAAAAGTAAGCACTTTTATCGGTAACCTAATAATTACTAACCTAAAATTTAGGTGGTTAGTCATTTGAGGCATGCGCCAAGTCATTCGTTCGGTATACGCCATTCGCCGCATTTGGGTACTTATAACATGTTTCTGGCGAAAGATAAAACTTACCTTTTGTTCTAACCTAACTAACCTCATTTTGTTGTGGTAAGTCGCTTATGTCATTTGTCAAAAAATAAGATTGTCGCTAATTTGAATTGTTTTTTCAGGTTGTTTTAGAATATCCGCCAGCGCATAGCTTCGGCATCAGGCACTCGATTTACGCCGACCATTATTGAAACGACGAGAAAACGATATTTTGCGATTATTTTTGACTAATAACATCGTTGAAAAATTTACTAAAAAAAAAAATATATCGCTGCTTTTTTTTTTAACCTCAAAACAGCTGCTTGAATTACTTTCACATTACTGAAAAATAATATATTTAAATGTTTCTCTTTTTTTTTTTTAATAAACTTATTTATAAAATTGTGTATTTCTTTTAAGTTACGCCACTGGGATTTTCTTTTAAAAAAATCTACTAGATGGCGACACTAACAAAAATTTCCTGAATAATAAATATAGGTGTTATCGTAGATACATAGTACAACGAGTGCTGAAAATAGCACTTTTCACACGCTTGGAGAATTTTGGTTTGGGATTTTTTTTCGGGGGTAATACCACGAGTGCTTAAAAATTACCGATAATTTTCGTGAAAGCTTGTTGTTTTAATTCCATGAGTTCGAAGAATAAAATTAGATTTAAATTTGTTAAAAGTCGTTAAAATACTTTTCTATAAGCAATTTTGTGGTAACATTCCAGAGCACTTTTACTGTAATGCTCTCTATATTCTTTTCCGTTCCTTTTTCTCATATTAAAGGCCCAGCTTTTCAGGAAAGATGCAAGTTCGGATATTGGAGTATTTTGATCAAAGGTGTACTTTTTTTCGTCGCAAAATGACATAAACTGCCTCCAAATACTGTTTTTAGATTTCACTGTATTTTTTTGGTTCAACTTCACTATATTTTCGTCAATTTCCTCATCTTTCACTTCAACAAACCGATTCATTTTGATTTTCAATGGCTTTTGCTTTCGACAAATACACCAAATACTTAGAGTACAGTGGGAATCATTGCAATTGGCACACACTCTTTAAAATCCCTCGTATTGAGTCAAAATTCTAACCAATAAATCTATTTAGTGCAGTATTTTGCTATTACTGGTGTGTCAGATTTGACACATTACGAGGGATATTTATATAGTGTGTGGCATTTGCAATGATTCCCACTGTACCTAGTAACAGGGTTGCCAGATCTATGAAATGAAAAAGCGGGACTGATGCTATCCAGAGGGAAAGCTCGAGTGCCACGCCTAAAAGCATAAAGGCGGAGGGACAAGTGCCCAATGTGTCCCCCTCCCATGGATTCCCTTGAGCAAAAGCGCAACAAATTTTTTGGAGCTACGCCCAAATTTTGTTAAGAATTCAATCAAAAAAAAAAATCTCCTTTATTAGATAACAAAATAAACGCTTCACGACAAAACAACAGAAAACATCATTATTTATACCCGAGTTTATACCCTATAAATAAACGCTATACTTTTTCTATGACCATGTTATGGTTTTTGCTGTTAAACTAATGTAATGTTTTTTCACAAGGGTTCCTTCTTCGTTTAATAGATAAATAAACTCAGGCACAAGAATGTTCAAAAAATGTAAAGAAAACAAAAAAAACTGTTTCATTTTATCTGCACTGCAATACTCCATCTGTTCTACTGTATCTGCACTATTCTATCTGATCTACTCTTCCTGCACCACTTTATCTGATCGGAATAGTGGAATATTTCTGTTTGGAATAGCTTCAGTTCCTTAGCAATATTCTGTGCTACTGTATCTGCAATGAAATTACCGCACAACGGCGAGCTCTGTTCTAGGTACCTATCATATATGGCGCCGTATACAAAATGGTTGTGACGGACTTATAACCTGGCTCTCTACCACTCGACATCAGCCGGACGCAGCACTCCGAACAGTTGCCACGGAACACGGCTGTCAAGCGATGCCTAAGAGGAGAAACGGAACTAAGCCACAGAACGTCAATGGTCAAGCGTCAAGAAATGACAGAAAGACCAGTTCGCGCTCTTTCGGAATGAACGAACCAACAACAAAATAAAATACACAATTAAAACATTGTCATTCTATTTATTTTTGGACATTTTTACTGTGAAGAATAATTAAAAATTGTTTTTGTGCAAAGTGTGTGACAATAAAATCCACATTGTTTGCAATGAAAATGTGACGGTAAACTTGGTATCGGTTATAAGAGATGGCGCCGTATGCGGGCTTAGTGAGTTTTTTTCATAAATAAGTAAAATAGATATTTTTTTATTTTGTTTTTTTTTTTTTTGGATTTTTTCGATTTATTATCGTAGGATGGACAAAGACAAATCCAATAAAGCAAAAATCATGAAAATCAGTCCAGCCGTTCTCGAGTTATAAGTGCTCAACACCAACACAACTGTGTTTTATATATATAGATATCATTGTATATATAACTGGATTTGAAAGAATGTTTTTAACACGTAAAATCCTAATCATTCACTTCCGTCACTAGATACAGGGACGTAGCGAAAGCCTTGTTTTTGGGGGGTGACATTCCTAATTTTCCCAACTTTATTGAAACATAAAAAAAATCATATGTAGCATAATACGTCGTACACGTGTTAAGAAGTGGAACTTCTTAAAAACTATTCCCTCCCTCATGAACTTGTCTTTCATACAACTTTTGGACTTGGAGCATGAGTCGGGGCACAGGTCGGGGTATAAAGACAAAAGGCTAAACAATAGACAAACGTGCATCTGTAGTGACGTCACAAGGGTATCGGCGCTTGCCGCTTGACAATAATAGGCAATCCTCTTTGCTTATAATCTTTCGTTCGTGTGAATTGTTCGTCGGCTGCCATTGTCATTGGTTAATGTCTTTCTCCGTTTCTCTACATTATGTCTTTCTTCTTTCTCGTCTCTCGTGTAACGAAATTGGCCAAAACGTGTCGTCACGTGTAACTTCTTTTAAATCACTCTCTATTCTCCTCCAAATCAGACCGCCGCCTAAGAACTTTCAGTTCAAAAAAATCATGTGTAGCATCGTACACGTATTAAGAAGTGAAACTTTTCAAAAACTATACCCTCCCTCACAGGATTCAGAGCTTTGCTGAAATCTGATAGCGTTTAACATTTGTCGAATCAGTGCAAAAAAAATGTAACCCTATCCTTACATGTTACATGCTTTTAGAAAAAGATGCGGATACACTCAATGCGGCACTGATGACAAATGGAAATCGCCATGAATAACGAGCGAAGAATGCGCAGAACGCAGGAAGTAATAAGAAGTTTGGATTACATACTATATTGTCCATCTCTCTCAAACACGACGCGCTTGCAACAACAAGCTATAGATATAACTACGTCGGTCGTCGGTCTTGACTCTCGAATAGTGAATAGTGCTAGTGGCGCTAGAGCCACTACTGTCACGAATGCCACGTGCCACTACCACAGGCTAGTGGAGTGCAATGTGCAACGCAAGAGATCGCCCCGACCATTGGGATTTTGTCATCCTGTTGTACGGTGATTTTGCAATTCATTACGACACGTGACACGATCTTAATGTATGTTAATTTTAATTAGTCCTTGCAAAAAGGGTGCGCAAATTTTTGTCTACCAATTTTTCCCAACTTTAAATTTTTTATCCAAGTTTTCCCAATTTTCGATATATTTCAGAAACTTTGCCCCAACCCCCCCCCATGGCTCCATCCCTGACTAGATATTTTATCACTATATAGCATATAGTGACGAAAGTGACGTTTTCCGCTAAGGTGAAATATGACGAAAGCTGTTCATTTTTCAATGGCCAGAAAAAAAGTTTTTTGCAGATGCTAGTTTGTGCAATGAAAGATTTGGATTTTGTTAGAATTTTTGACATTTTTATACCTGCAACATTCAACATTTATTAATAAAACCCAAGAATCGTAAACTAACAGGATTGCTCATCCTGGGAAGGCGTACGTTCGCCAGTTCTCGAGTCCACAAGGTCTGCGAGTGACGTCACCACTTCGGCAGTTAATAGTGGTGACGTCACCCGCAGACCTCGATGAAATGCTTGCGATTCAAGCTCGTTATTTGATTTTTGCGTCAATTTTAAATGAAAAAATTGCTATTTATGTAACAGCAAGTTGTAAAATAAGCGTATTTTTTGCACTAAATGTGAAGATTGGGTGAAAAAAGCGGGAAAACCGGGACAATTCACGTGAAAAGCGGGACCTGAAATTAATAAGAAAAAGGCGGGACCGATTAACAAAATGCGGGACTGTCCCTCCTAAGGTGGGACGTCTGGCAACCCTGCCTAGTAACCTGGAATTGGAAAATGAAGCCGTTTTTTTTTTAGGTATTTTGGCACCAAAAAAATGGCGGAATAGGCAATCAATGCTTTACCTGTATTTTGGTGCCAAACACCTGCCTAAAACTTGGCTTCACTTTAGTTTCATAAGCAGAATGGCGCGTTCCTACTCCCTATGTCCGTAGGACAGCGCTTTACCTGCTCTAAGACCAAATACTTGTGTTTCTTTGGTTACTATTGATTCCCGTCTCTAATTTACAATACAAACATTAATTTTTTTGTGTTGTCAAAATGTTAAATTGACTTGTATAGGTGATAATTTCACGTTGCCTAGACAACGTTGAATTTTCGAATGTAATACCACAAGAGGTTTCAGAATTCAGGATTACCGGATAATACTTTTACCTGTCACGAAACGCGTTACGCAAGGAGGAGTGGTGTTGCTGGTAACGCGTTGAGTGTCAGGTAAAAGTATTAGGTAATCCTGAAACATCGAGTGGTATTCAAAAGGTTATACAACGAACTAAACTTCAATACTTTATCAATCCTTATAATCATTAATGACAAATTGACAATATTGCCACCAAGCGCGATAATCCCAAAAGGCTTATCACTTATTAAGCCTCTCGTGACATATGGGAATAATGTACAGTGAGTTGTATAATCGGGGAAAACACCCATGAGTGAAAAATTATCTGGTATATTTTGAAGCTCAAGTGGTATTTAGAGGATTATTTCACGTATGAGAATGCAAAAAATATGGAAATAAATATGTATTAAACGATTTGAACATCTTAACAATCAATACAAATAAATGGTTGCTATCAGGAACCGTTTGTTTGTATCAAAAATTAGCATGACAACCATGTATACAATAACATGGGAGAATTATCGCTGTAATTCTCTCTAGTTAAACAAATGAAAAAGAGAATTTTCGCTGTAATTCTGAAAATCGTCACTTGTCTTATGGGATTTCTAACACATGAGTGGAATTATCGAGGATTATACAACTCACTGTACATTATTCCCATATGACACGAGAGGCCTAATAAGTGATAAACCTTTTGGGGTTATCGCGCTTGGTGGCAATATTGTTCATTT